ATAATAGTAATAATAACCATAATAATCATAATAATCATGATAAAAGTAATAATGATAATAATAATAATATATTATACGACACGCACATTTTTTTGCTTTTATAGATGGCATACAACGTGCACGTTCATTGACCCAAGTGTTTATGTTCGGTTTGGAGGTTTGCCATAGGTGTGTTCTACATATCATGCAAAGCGCGAGCAATTCATGTCAACTCTCAGATAATTTCGGTCTTGGGTATTTGCAACTATTCATGTGATTAAATCCAAGTTCCAGACATATTTTCGCTAACTCGTGTCTAATTCTTATGAAAGCAGGGTCGTCCTTTTAGAGACTTTTGACTCGTGAGTTTAACCATTGAAGCCTTGTCGTGTAACACAAGGACCTGTTTTAGATATATTGCAAAATATACTATTGCCTATACATTGGTTTTGTTTCTAAAAAGAGGAAAGTAACTTTATTGTCCCTTGAGATGTGCAAGATAGCTGTGCCGAGCCCATGTAGAACGGACGAGGAAAGGATTAAGGTTACCCGTTATTTCAGATGACAGCTGTGAGTTGTGCTATTTATAACACGTTGACGTAATGGAAAAATTTCGTTTCCGTAAAGGCGATCAGACTTCCGGTATGGGAGATCGCATACCCCAAGAGCAGATAGACGGGCAGCAGGACAGTACTCACGGGGTGGTGCTGCAGCAGCATGGGTACCAACAGAAACAACCGCACCTGCAACAGCTGCAGCACAATTATCAACATCATCTGCTACAACAGCAACAGCAACAACAGCAGTATCAGCAGCAGCAGCAGCAGCGGCGGTATCAGACTCGGACACCCACCGCCGCGTTGCCGCCACAGGACGAGAGGTTTCGATCTCAGACCAACTGGAACGGAGTCCTGCAGGATTTATTCGGCGTCGGTATGTCACGGTCTAGATCTAGTAACGTGTGTCCCCTGGTTGGGTGTTGTCACTGTCTACGGCTGCTTTGTGCTGGGTGACCCTTGTCTGGGCGTATCCTTGTTGTTGTTGTTGTTGTTGTTGCTGTTGCTGTTGCTGTTGTTGTTGTTCTTGTTGCTGCTGCTGCTGCTGTTGTTGTTGTTGTTGTTGTTGTTGTTTCTTTTACCATTGCCTTTATTGTTGCTGTTGTTGCTGTTTTTGACAACGCCATTCTCGCACCCCCTTTCTGTGGATGAGTGGCTGGTACTCTGAGGTAGTTTGCTCCTTCCGTCCTATCAGCCGTCTTTCATCATTATCTCTCTTCCTTTTATTCTTTACGTGTTACTCTCTGGTGACAACTCTTATCTTCGGGGCTTATATGGCCTAACTGTGTTGCAAGGGTCCGTTAAACTCGTCTTAAAACTAATCTTAAAACACGCTTTCGATTTCTCCCTCCTTCTCTATCTATCTATCTGTCTATCTATCTATCTATCTATCTATCTATCTATCTATCTATCTATCTATCTATCT